TGAAAATAATTTTAACACAATTTTTATTGCTGGGTGTGTTCTTAGAAACTACTTTCTTCAACAAAATTATAATGAATCACCTTCAGAGAAACACACAGGTTTGCCCACCTACGATAATCCTTTCTGTTTCAACCTTTAATCCCAGTAAATGATTTATTGAAATTTGATTTGAAAGAAATACTTAAAAAGTGACATTCACATAAGTGTTCCTCAGACATTCACTTCAATGAGTAGTCAATGAGGGGGTCAAGCTTAGGATGCAGCAAAAAATAAAGGACAATAAAAATTGCTACTGAACATGTTAGCACACATCTCAGATGAAACAAGGAAGAACAAAATGCTACAAAAGTCTCTCAGTGCTATTTCTGGAGCAATTAACATGTATTCGTCTTCAATTTACCCAATACAATCCATATTTTCCCACAAAAACATCATACATGCTGTACATGAAAACTGAAATCATAGCATTTTAGACCTGTGCATGTAATAACTCAACAATCCATCCATGAAGTGGGGGAAAATATGTACAGTCTTTTAAAAACCCATCTCAATAGGTGGCCATCAAAATAATAATAATAATAATAATAATAATAATAATAATAATAATGAACAAGTAAATAACTTTGTCTTGTAGTAAAGAACTGGTGGGATCATAAACTTGCAAAGGTAGTAAAAACTGAACACAAAAATACTGGGGGACTTTTGAATTCAGACTGACAATGTTGTGGAACACAATACACAAGACATCACAATTGTGGAAAAGAAAAAAGTTTGGATTATTGATGTCGCCATACCGGGTGACAGTCGCATTGAGGAAAAACAACAGGAAAAACTCAGCCGTTATCAGGACCTCAAAATCGAACTGCAAAGGCTCTGGCATAAACAACTACAGGTGGTCCCAGTGGTCATTGGAACACTGGGTGCCATGCCAAAAGATCTTAGCCAGCATTTGGAAACAATAAACATTGACAAAATCGTGATCTGTCAACTGCAAAAGGCCACCTTCCTTGGATCTGCACGCATCATTCAAAAATACATCACACAGTCCTAGATGCTTGGGAAGTGTTCGACTTGTGATTTTGTGATACGAAATCCAGTATATAGATCTCGTTTGCTGTGACATACTGTGGTTTTGTGTCAGTAAAATAATAATGATAATAATAAACAATTTATTTATATTCCTCCACCATCTCCCTGAAGGGACTCAGGGCAGCTTACCAAGACACTCCAAGGTGCAGCATATAACATAAACAGTACATGAGTATAAAACAATATCACATAGAAATTATAAAAAGACCACTATCAACACATGCACATATAATATAAAATAAAATAGTACAATTTAAAAAATGCAGAACATCTGTAGATAAAACTAGCTACCATCAATTCACAACTAAAGTCATAGAGTGTTAACCTCATATGGGCCCATTTCAGCATACTCAAAGGCCTGCTTAAAAATCCATGTTTTTAGGCTGGATCAGAAAGATTCAAGGATGGGGACTAACCTAATCTCTCTTGGGAGGGTATTCCAGAGCCGGGAAGGCCCTCTCTCTCGTCCCCACCAGTGATGGGACTGAGAGAAGTGCTTCCTCTGTTGATCTCAAAGCCCGTGCCGGTTCATAGAAAGAGATAAGTTGGACCCGAAGTGTATAGGGCTTTATAAGTAATAACCTGCACCTTGAATTGAGCCTGGAAACTTGTCAGAAGCCAGGAGCTGTTTTAGTAGGGGCATGGTATGTACCCTATAGCTAGCCCCAGTTAGTAATGTGGCAGCCAACTTTTGCACTAACTGGAGTTTCTGAACAATAAAAAAGAAAGATCAAACACAAAGTTGTGGTACAATGGTAGAAGCACAAAGAAGAGGCAGAAGCATCATTTTCTTCATACTGCATTCATTCCAACCTCCATCCCTCTCTTGCTCTCTCTCCCTCTCCCTCTTCCTTCAGGAAGCTAAATATACCAGGAATAAAAACCACACAAAATCGACTAACTCAAAATTCCTCAAATCAGACAAAGGTGAAGCAGACAGCAATCTCCCAAAGCGAACAAGAACATGAGTCACGAAGGTACAAGATACAGAGGCTGCTCCCTTGAAAGCCCTAAAGCTTTGTACTCTAGTGCTTGCACTCCCTTTGCTAGCTCTTAACGACATTGCTACTTGTATGTCAAAGCAAAACCGGGCTGAGCAACAGCTCTTAACTCAAAACACTCTTAAGTTGAGATGTTTTTAAGTTGAGGTTTTACTATGTTACAAGAAAGGGAAATGTTTCCCTAACCACTTCTTGTTCACCTATGAATGTTGTTATGGGGTAGATGAAGGCTTTCCCCCAAAAAATCCTTCAGTCCCCAAATTACTAGCATCTCTCTTTATCAACCCCCCCCCCCCCCCACACACACACACACACACACTTCTAAAGCTCGATGTAGCTCCTTCAGGTGTTTTGGACATAATCTCCCAGAAATTCCAGCCAGCTTACCAGTTGTTAGAAATTGTGGGAGCTGAAGTTCAAAACATCCGGAGTAGCAGAGTTTGAAAAACACTGTTGTAGAGAACGGTTTGATATCACCTATGGGTAATCACAACCTGAAAAAATACCCCCACACAGTTCTTATGTAACAGTAAGAGAAAATAAGGAGGCAGAGCAGTGTCATATATATTTAAGATAGTGGGAAGTTCACTTCTCAGGATGGAGCGACAGCCCCTCTTTGGACTTCAGCCCAATCGTCCATGGTATCAAAACAACACCCCCTTCTGTTCTGTCTGTGTACTGTCTATACAAAACAGCATTGAATGTTTGTCATCTGTGTGTAGTTGTGATCCACCTTGAATCCCCTTTGGGATGAGAAGGGCGGAATATAAATAAAGTGTCGTTGTTGTTATTTATCTTAAAAACGTCACCTCACAATTTCCACCCACCCCTGTAGGTACAAACCAAACATTTACTACTACTAATGTAGCATCCCCAAGGCTTGCTAAACAGGCTGATTTCTTTTTTGTGAAGTACAGCTGAAGCATTTTCTGCAGAGTCCACTGTAAACATGGGACAGTCTTGCAAATAGATTTCTGTAAACGGGTGGTGTTTTGAAGCCTTTTACTGTTGTCAAATTATTAGTGGCCCTAATATTGAACTAACTGTATTGAACTGTACCCCGTTTGGGAACAGGGCATACAATTTGAAAACTCTGGACTAGAAAACTCTGAGAACAACATTTCACAGTTCTGCACTGTTTTCTCACTAAAGACATTTCAAGTTTTTCTTCCCAAACAAATTAATGTTTTCTTGCTCTTCAAATATGCACTCCCCTCACATTTTTTTTAAATAAAGCTTTTCTCCCCTTCCATACAAATTATTTATTTATCATTTCGGGAGCAAACCAGACAGTTGTATTGCATTTTTAACAAACAAACAAACAAAACAAAACACAAAGTTTGCAAGCTTGGTAGTTGATTAAATGTCCTTTGACCAGTAGCTGGCCACTTGGAGTGCCTCTGGTGTTACTATAAGAAGGTCCTCCATGCAAATGGTTCAATTTCAGTTCCATGATCAGCTCCAAATTTCAATATAATGATTGCATGAGGTAGGCTTTGGATGGGGATGTTTGTGGTGATCAAAAGAAATAATGGGTTTAAGGAGGCAGTGCTGACATATTACCAGAGCTGTAAGGTGTGTTGTAATTGACCTGAGTCTGAATTTCCCTCAAATGAACTCCAAGTTCATCCTAGAAAGCACCCAACACAAGCATGCTGCCCCAAGGCTTCATAGCTGATAATGACACAGAAAATATATAGGAGACAAATTACCATTTAAGGAAACTGGTCGCTGAGAGGAATTCTTGATAAACTCCAAAAGAGCCCCAGGAGATTATATTGAGAAACAGAAAGAAACACATACAGCATGTCATTTGCTTGTGTCATTCCACCCACAAAGTTCTCAGAAATAACTGTTTATTGATTCAGCAAATTCGTTTTGCCCTGTTGCAAATTGGTCTCAGTTACGTAAATGCAGATATCAACATCTACATCTAAAGATCAAGCCCAAAAGCTCAATCCTTCTAAGACCAACATAGAATAAACGGAATGTGCAGAAATTGCTAAAAGATCTGAGATGTTCCAGAGAGATAAAACCACCTTAAGGAACAGAGTGAACAGCAAGAATATGTGTAATGTGACATGCGAACAAGATTAAGTACCCATCAGATAACATGTTTCCAGTTTGGTATTCAAAGTTCTAAAAATTTCATTCTCCTGTGCACATTATGGCTGCATGCATGAATAAGTGCTGTTTGTGCCCGTTTTCCCATAGATCAGCTGCACCATACATGACACTATAATGAGGTCCACCAATGTGGGCATATCAGTGAAGGGAACTGACTTGGGAGCATTTGTAAAAGTTCATTGGATCATATAAAACTCTAAGTGCAATATTGGAGAAATAACAATGTTGCAGAAGGTTGAAAAATGTGCTTTTGAACTACACTTCCCAGCCTTCCCCAGGTAAGCATAGGAACTGTTATCTTAAAAAGGAACTTTTCTAGACCCTGTCATCAAAACACTAGTAAAAGGATGAAAATAGTAAGCCTTAGCCTTTCCTACAACTGCAAAAGACTTAATAGAAACTAGCTGTACCTGCCACCTTGCTGTTGCCATCCTTCCCTCCCTCTTTCTCTCCTTTCTTTCTCTCCTTCCTTCCCTCTTTTTTCTTTTCCTTCTTCTTTCTTCTTCTTTACCTGTTTCTTTCCTCCTTCCTTTCTCTTTGGTTCCATCCTTCCTTCTCTCTTTCCTTCCTCCTTCCCCTCTTTCTCTCTTTTTCCCTTCTCTCCTTCCTTCCCTCTCTTTCCTTCCTCACTTTTTTATTTCCTTCCCTTCCTTCTTTCTCTCTTTCTTTCTTTCCTTCTCTCCCTCTTTCTCTTCCTCCTCTCCTTCCTTCCCCTTTCTGTGTATATATGTTTTGTGTGTGTATAATGCATATATGTGTGTGTATATTTGTGTATATGTGTATATATGTGTGTTTGTGTATATATGTGGTTTTGCGCATGTGTTGTAATGTAATTTTTTGCTTTTTTGGCTTTTAAGTCCCTTCCACACTCTTTTTCAGTGTTTTTATGAGTGATGGTCACTCATTGGCCTAATAGGTGTCTTGTGTCCAAATTTGGTGTCAATTCGTCCAGTGGTTTTTGAGTTATGTTAATCCCACAAACTAACATTACATTTTTATATAGATAGATTTCAGCTTCATGAGTCTCCCAAAGGAATTTGTGTGATTTCATGGCTTTCAGAGCAAGGAGCTCCACCTCACTCCAAAAATCAATGAGGAACAACAAAATTTATAGTGAAGTGAACAATGTTGTTGTTCATTCGTTCAGTCATTTCTGACTCTTCATGACCTCATGGATCAGCCCACGCCAGAGCTCCCTGTCGGCCGTCACCACCCCCAGCTCCTTCAAGGTCAATCCAGTCACTTCAAGTGAACAATACACTACAATATAACTTATGAAATAACATGAAAGAAGGAACACATTTTAATTGGTTTTGATACTAATGAATTGGAGAATAAGGTTCCAGCAGAAACCATTTTTTTAAATATAAAATGTATTAAAGGCAGCAGCTGCTGTGATTCTGTCTTGCTCAGCAGCACTCAGATTTTCCCACTGATAAGGTTTCCCTGTTTACTCAAACTTTACATAAAGATAGGAAAGATAATGGCATGTGAGCCAACATAGTATAGTGGTTTAAGCATTTGCCCAACCAGGGTGACCTTGGACAATTCAGACTCAGTCTCAGAGGAAGGCAAAGCCCTCTAATCAAATACTGCTAAGAAAACCCCACAATAGGTTTGCCTCACGATTACCAGTTGGCAATGACTTGCAAACACACAATTACTACAGAATTTTGGGAGTTTGGATCTCCGCTTGGCCATGGAAACCCATTTGGTGAACTTAGATAGGTTACGTTCTCTCAGCCTCAGAAGAAGGCAAAAATATCTCCTCCACCTACCCACAAACAAATCTTGCCATGAAAATCCTGTGATAGGGTTGCTTTATGGTTGCCACAAGTTGACTTAAAGACAAGCAACAATGAGAGGATTACATAAGTAACCAAATAAAATCGTCCATCCCCGGTTTTTAAACTTATGTGTAAGAAATGTGTAAGAACGTCCTAACTATCAACCCCACAACTAATCAAAAGGATCAGGGTTCCCTGATCAAATGGTGTAACCCTGTGAGTCAGAGCCACATCCCACTTCTCCAATTCTCATGGCAAGGGGGAGAGTGTCCGCCTGAAAAATAAACAGTAATTTTCACATTACTTAGATTTGGTGTTTTCTTAATTGAATGGGACACTCTGTGCAACTGTTGTTTAATGTCACCAGGGGATGTCTCCTTTGAAATCAGAACTTGTTCTTGCTGTTGTTATTCATTTATATCCCATCCTTAAATTAAAAATAATCCAAAAGCATTATTGAAAGTAACAAAATATTACAAAACATTAAAGGCTATTTTTTTTTAAAAAAAACCCTTAAAACAGCCATAAAAGTCCTACCTTAGGACTTCATCAGATGGAGCGGGGGAAAGCAGATGGAACAGTCTTAACCAGTTCCCTCCTGTCTTTCTTGTGAGATGGCCAGCCATCCCGCGTCCTTATCACATTGATGTCCATCTTTACCCTGCTTTCTCCCATATTAAAGCTAGGTAACACCTGACTCCTAAAGATGGGTGGAGGACTCAATTTCCATNTGGGACTCCATTTCCACAATGCATGGAAACGGAGATCTACACACATCTGATGAGGTCCTTAATTGATAAAAGCCCAACTATTTTGACTAGTGGAAGAAAGCCCATATACAACATGACCCAACAGCATGAGTGGGGTCAGGTACCACTTGGGAAATCGATGGTTGTCATGGTGGATATGAGCCATTCACAACAAGATAGTTAGCATGTTTCAAGTGTTAGCTCTGATATCTCAGAAGTAGGATACTCCTGACTTGGCAACCCTAAGCAGGAGGTTCGTGAGACCTTATTCACTATGTTTAAGATGAGCATGCCAAAGATATAAAAAGTACAGAGAATCAGAGTAACAACCTGTAGTTATAATCAAGAAAACATTCATACATGTAAATTATTTCTGCCATCGCTTTGCTTATAACATCATCCCTGAAATAGAATTATTTAGAAATGAATCACAAAAAACTGTAAAGAAGATGCTTCTAAGAAAATATATTTAGTGCTGCATGCCAGAGAGGTTTATAGATCAACCACAACACAAAAGAAGTAATATAAAAGAGCAAAGTTTTAAAAATTATGATTGGGAATATTAGGTACATTTCTATAAATTAGTTTAGGAACCCAAGAATGGGAACTAGATACACAATCTCATTCCAAACTCAGTGTTCCTCCATGGGCACACATAATATGGTTTGGATTGTTTTTCGGGCTATATGGTCATGTTCTAGAACAACCTCTGAGGATGCTTGCCATAGATACAGGCAAAATGTCAAGAGAGAATGTTTCTAGAACATGGCCATATAGCCCGAAAAACCTACAACAATCCAGTGGTTCCAGCCATGAAAGCTTTTGACAATACATAATATAGTTTGTCCATGTACAATATATATAACTGCAATTCTAGGCAGCATTGTGGCAATCTGTTTTTCTCTCACACACCAGACAGACAAACAGGTTTCTGATAGGTGTATACAATCACATTCTAGACACACATGTTGGAATATATATACACATGTAGTTCAATCAGATAGGCATGATGATAACCCACACACTCAGACATACACAAACACTTCTGAGAAAAGTGGAGCATCATAAAGTACTTCTTACAGTCCTACTGAAGGGCCGAGGAATGTACAAGGAGTAGATAAATACAACCTACGTATTGTTATGTCGAGGAATGCACACTGTTTTGAAAATAGAGGAAGATGACAAGGAATACACACCACATGCTCTATTTCTCCTCTGCAGACACAAAACAATTATAAATCGGGTGTAACTGTGTTGCCATATGTACAATCAACTTGTGACACCAGTACAATGAAAACATCAACTTGACCGAGCCATTTAATTTCGCCCTTAATGTCTGCAGACCAAACTGGCGAGAATCCTGGTATGCATTTTCAAAAGGTCTACATTTAATATCCATGATTTAGGTTGCTGAAGATCTAACATGTCTCATAAGATCTTTATAAAATAAACTCTCTGCATTCTGTTTTTTTAAAAGTTAGAGTTATCTGGAAGGATAGTCAACTTGCAAACCAATGGACCGCCTTCTTGATTTATATTGTTCCACAATATATACTCATGTATATGTCAACCTCATGTAGAACTCAAGGGCATGTTTTGGAACCAACATTATGGATTCTTACCCATGGATCACTTAAGGGCAATTCTGCAGAGAGGGGAATGCATCAGCACTGCCCCAAGGCCAGCTATTCCTGGTCACAGAACGAACTAAACTCTCACCTTTCTCTATTCTACTCAAAAAAGCTGGTTTGTTTTGTTACAAGAATTCAGGTACAATAAATATATTGATCCATGGATAAATGGACTCTGATTTTTAGTTGACTATTATATGAGTATATACAGTACAGTGTTCCCTCGCTACTTCACAGTTCGCTTTTCGCAGACTTGCTGTTTTGCGGTTTTCCATCCTTGCTACTCACCAGGCCGAGTCCTCATTATGCCACCGGGACGCAGCCCGGTGAGTAGCGAGCGAGCAAGGGAGGGTGGGTGAGCAAGTGAGGGAGGGCCACAAAGGCAGAAGCAGCGGCAGAAGCAGGAGCCTGGCCTCTTCCTGGTTTTTTGGGCTGAGTAAATGAATAATTAATCCTTCCCAGAATGCCTGAGTTCTGGTCAGCTGTGGGAAATACAATCTACTCCAAAGATCTGGAACAGAAGATTTTTGCAGTTGCAGAACTTGTATGGAGTAATATATATATACAGGTACTCCCCAAGTTACAAACAAGATAGGTTCTGTAGGTCTGTTCATAAGCTGACTTTGTATGAAAGTTAGAACAGATATATTTTTAAG